TGTTTTCCAAAGCTGAACTTTCAGAACTCGGAGCACCTTATCACACTCTTGCAAGCTTTTTTTCTTTCCTTCAGAAAATGGAAAGGGAGAAGGTGGGGGTGGGGTGGGGAGCAGTTAGGACTTGTGCTGGTTAAACCCGATCTCCCTGGGGATTTGTTTTTCTTCTGGCTTCAGATTAGGTGTTCAAATCAAACAGTGTGTGAAGACTGTGAGGGAAGGTCCATGGGATTCTTAGCGAGGCTAATCCTGGAGCACGAGTACATTCCAAGGGGCCAATCTGCCCAAGTTCATTGCTTACTTGAAATGTCTCTTGGGGGAAGAGCCTGGCAAGTGACTTTTTTTCCAGTGGGCGGTCATCCGAGCATTATTAACGGGATGGCCAGCCCCAGTCAGGGCAAAATGAAAACGACAGGAGCTGTGCAGGGTGACTGCCTTGCTACCAGCCAGAGTCAGTGTGCAGGTAAACGATTTCAGCTAACTTTTCTCTTGTTTGACCTGTCCATGTTGGAGGTGAGGACTTGGAGGAAGACTAAAGGAACACACAGAGAGTGTAGAGAGCAAACAGAGGGGGAAATGAATGTATATTTTGGTATTTTGTTCTTGGGAATACTGGGTGGCCTCTTGAAACTGGAAACTCTGAGGGCGGGCAGTAAAGAGAGGTGTTCCTCATAATTGGTTTCAGGAAAGTTCGTATACTTTCTTTTTAATCTTGGGATTAACTGTCTGGGTTACTGTGCTGCTAAGTTTGTATTGCAACTGTTCCCTCCTAGAGAAAGGCTGAAGTCTGTAATTAGAAGGGAGGTAAAGGTAGACAGAGCAAAGTTGTCGGCTCTTTAATGTCAGTAGCAAAGAGTGGGTAAATGAAGCCTGTTTAAATGAAATGACTTAATGTTTCTTTTGTATAAGACAATATTTTATGGGTGTGTTTTGCTTTCTTTCATCTTAATGTTTTATTGATTACATGTTTAATTTTCAAAACTAGCTCTTGCTTTTATACCTTGTGGCAACCACTATACTTCAAAATGCAGATGCCCTTGTTTCTGTTTTGAAAAAGATGTCCTTTAATCATTAGCCTTGAAAACGTTTTCCTATTACACATCGCACATGGCTGATCGTGCATAAAAACAAGAAAGAAATAGCCCCTAATAAAGTTAGCATGGTTACTTGACCATTCTACCTCCAGAAAAGAATATACAGAAGTGATTTGTTGAGGGCCGACAGGACCCACCTTTCCGAGGAGGACGAGACTTCTGTGGCATAATTAAAAAACAAAGCAAATCAGACAAACTCTCGAGTGAAGTTTTGCATCAGAAGAGAATTAAAAGGTCAGCAGGAAATGAATGTCAGATTTATTTCATGCTTTCTAACAATGAGGATAATCATTCTGCACTAACTTAGTTGGGTATTGGAGCAAAGTCTAAAGCTTCATGCAGAGTATTTCAAAGCCCTTGAACAAAAGAAAAAGATTCATTTAGGCAACATGTTAAATCATGATTGTACATCAAAATATGCCCTTTCCAAAGGGAAAAAAAAACTTTTTAAATTGAGTATCTGTCCACAGTAACAACATAAATAAAAGCACAATAAAACCAATCCCACAGCATAGCAGAGTCAATTATGTATATTTTAGAGAATTCCTAAGTCATCTGTTATGTACACATTCTTTCTATGATGAAATATACTTGTCTCGTAAATAAAGAGAGTAGAAGTTTATTATAAATGATGGGAAGATCTTTTTACCTCACCTCTCTTTCCCTCCCAATAGTGCCTTGGCAAGGGAACTGATTAATCTGCTAATTCTAAGGAACAGAAGTAGATTCCCATCCATTCACTCACAAAGAGGCTGCTTTTCTTCTTTGAGAATGTAATTAAGTTACTGGACTGCACACAAGTCAAATCACCTTCCACGGGAAGACTAACATACAAACAGAAAACCCGTATGTGATAATTTTTTTTTCCTACATACTGTCTTACTGAAGTTTTGCAGGACCTCCCACATTGAAACTAATAATAACAGTGTCCTTAAAGAGTTTGATTCATCTGGCACGGACCGCTATATTCTCAAGTTTAAAGTCCTGTTGTGATTCCATTTCTTTGCTGCAGGAGAAATAATAACACCCCCTCCCCTTCTTTAACTTCGGCCTTATACATTGTAGTCTTCGTAAAATGGCTCCCCATCCATTACCCCAAGGGCAGAGGAAGAACAGTTTTCAGAGCATTCATCTACCCCCGTAGCCCCCCACCGCTATGCCTGAGGCCTGGACCAGCTAGGAAGAAGGGGAAGGAACAAATCTGAACCGGTTTCCCGCATGACACTAGGAATCCAGTATGGCCCAAACACAGAAATAGTCCCGGGAATCTCAGTTGGCACTGCACACATAAAGAACATTCAGAACCAGCACTTTCTCCTTTGGCAAAACAATGTATCCAAGGAGTAAGAGGAAAGATCCTGGAGCAAGCTATTCAAAATCAAACTGTGGCTTAGGAACTAACTTGCTGTATCAGTCGGGCTCCATTTCTTCATTGATAAACTAGATGTAGTAATGGTCCTGCACATAATGGACCCTCAACTCGTGTTCACCATTATGAGTCCTTGCTGAGCTCCTACTATGTGCTAGGTGTGTAAAATGAATTACTTGGTCTGATTATCACAAAAGCTCCATAGTAACTTAGGATCTAGATGCTATACATGAGGCAAGTAACGTTTCTTCATATCTCATTAGTGGCCAGTCCAGTGTTCTCTGATCCAAACACATTGGTGGCCATTGCTACAAATATTTTATAGGAGCCTCAGATTACTTTCCCTATGAATTTATAGTATCAGAATCAGCTCAGAAGTCTGGAATGCTGGTACACATCTCCCTCTCAGTACATGGGAGGCTCTGGATAGTGACGGCTGCAAATTCAAGGCCAGCTAGACTTCAGAATGATTACCAGGTTAGCCAGGTTGACAGACTGAGAACCTGTCTCAGTCAGCAAACAAACAAGCCAAGATGGGTCTCTCTCTGTGAAGTCATTCATGGTACTCCTCAAATAATAACAACCCAATTGTGCCAAGCACTATTGTTATACCCAGCATACAGACAGGACAAATCTGAGGATAAAAGAATCCTCTCTGCCCTAGTCTAACGGAGTCCCACTCGTGTTCCTTTCTCAGCTGTGTGCATCCCACACAGGCTGCTACCCCAGCTCACTCTCCTGGAAGATGAACCAGCACTCACGGAAACAGGCATATGTCCCTCACCCCCTCTCCAAAGGTTCTTTTGAAGGCTAGCCAGGATGGGATACAAAAGAACATTCTTTGTTTGCTACTCCCCAAGGTGTAGGGAAAGTGGGTTTCAAATGTCCAGTGAGGAACGTCTTACCTCTTTCTGCCAAGAGATAACATCAACAAAAGTATTCAGTGTTTCAGCACCACGGGCTATGAATAGTTTAATTTACAGGCTTTCTACAAAGATAAAGACTGGTTATCATTGCTGCCAAGCTCATTTCTGTTGCAAAGATTGAGCCAGTGGCTTTTCCTACTGGTCTGAGAAGGAAACTCTTTGAGAATAGATTTTCTCTTTTTCATGTCCAGTTGCAAACAAAATTATAAATGCCTTCTGTGCGCATGAGCATATAGAGGTTCGCCTGGACCTGGAGACCTTTGAGGCAGTGTAGGCTAATCCTTTAAACAAAGACAATGTAGGGAAAACAAAAATTAAGTGACCCGATTGTGATCATTACTGAAACAGAATACAGAGCCTTGATGCTGCGCAACCATCCTCTGTGTGGTCGTGTATAAAATATGCATTATCATAAGTATTAAAGAACTATTGCTATGTATGTCATGTGCATAAATAGACCTTCACTGTGTGAGATCAAAGGAATAAGTGTGCACCAGAACTCACGAGGCCTGGATAGCACTGCGTATCCAGAGTATCAGGACTAATTATATCTGGCAAGCAGGAGCTGCTAACATTTCCCCCCAGTGATTGACACAGATCAGTGAACAGCTCAGTTGTGCCTTGGGCCGGCATATTTTAAGAATATAAAACTAGGGGTGACAGTGAGACGGTGCAGTATCTTCCATCTTAAATACTCAGGAACGAAATCATCGGAGAAGCTTAGCGGGTTTAATAGACACTTCTTTTTTGTTTCCAATGCTTTTAAAGGCAGGGGCTTGGGGTCTCCAGGCTTTTGGTATTGTGACATGTTTTCATTTACAAATGTGTGGGGCTTCATTCATAGCTATGATGGGGTAATGTGGTCTACAGTCCATAGCTTGTACATACAGGATAGACACTGCTTAGGGAGAGAAGGTCCTCCAGTTTGATGGAACACCCTTTGTCCATCTAGGACCACATCTTGACGGCAGGGTTTGGATGGTCTCAACAATGCCTTTTCTAAGAAGCCATATTTTTTGTATGTGTGGAGAATGTAAATGAGAAATGTGCACATTCCCTTTCCAAGAATGACCTGGGAGTGCCGGGGCCCTGCTTACATTCATCCTCCTCATCTTCACATTTCCTTTCATCCCTCTCTGTTCTCCTCTCTCATAAACATGGATTCCCTTGACATAGCAGGCATTTTGAGTTATCCATTCCTTCTGCTGTCTTTCTTTCCTTCTGTAAGGAAAATATAATGGAAGCTCCAGCCATGAAAACCTGATGCTGAACCAGATGCATTTCCACTGATTTTTGAATCTTGTTTTCATGTAAGATTGTAAATGTCACGTTCTGTCCCTTCAATTTCATCTTCTCTATGAATAGCTTTGTGTTTTTGTCCTTTAGAAACAATAATGAACATTTCTACAGCCCTCTTATTAACAATTTTTCAGCCTATTTTCTTAATATTATAATGTTAACCCAATCAGCAGGCTGTCTGGTTAGAGGAATCCAGCAGTGTGGAATCCACTTTTGATATACTAGTACGAGATGTGTGTAATCATTATGTTGCTGCCTGGCCAAAGATATTCAAACTTTATGTTCATCTTTCTTCTTTCTCTCTCTCTCTTTTAGGCTCAGAAATCCTGGATTGAAAGAGCATTTTATAAAAGAGAATGTGTTCACATCATACCCAGCACCAAAGACCCCCATAGGTAATCCTGTTGCTTTCATAATTTAAGAATGTGAAGTAATCATTATGGGGATAGAAATAAAATAGTAATTACTACCCACTGCAAGGGAACCACTGTCAAATTAAATATATTTTGAACCAAATACATATGTGTGTGTGTGTGTGTGTGTGTGTGTGTGTGTGTGTATTGCAATGCTTAATATGCCATGGTTGCCATTAATTCATCAGCTACGCATCTGTACACAGAGTAAAAGATACACCATCACAGAAAGAACTGATTGCTGTACACTGTATTTTTGCTGCTCATACTTGTTTTCCCACCTAAATATTTTGTTTCACTGCCTCATTTGTACCAACATGCCCTGCTATAGTAAAGGGACAGGCTTGAATTAAAGACTCCCAGCAGATCAGTTAGGGTTCAGAACTTCAGATCCCTCTGCATGATCTTGGTACTGTCGTTACCTTCCTGAAAATCAGCAGGACATAAATCTGGAAGATAAAACAGTACGTCATCATCTGGAAATGCCTTTTTAAATGGGCAATTTTAAAAGATGTCTTAAAATACAGATTTTACAGCCATAGACTAGATACATTACTTAACCTTCAGCACTGCTATTTTTTGTCATCAGTGTATTCTAAATTGTTAGTGTTTAAGAAAATGGTTGCTGTATATATAACTGCCATTACTAATAATAATTACTAATAATAATAATTGTGATAGTGGCCATTATAACCTATAAAGGACATTTTGATGACAGACAGAACAAATTTTAAGTTTCCTTTTTTTTTATTTCTTCTTCAAAGACAAACCTAGAGGTTTTTAGTCTCAGAATTGAATATTTGACAGCAAATATCAGTCAGGAGACAAGTTGGGTTGTGACTCCTATGTAAGTGAGATTCCTCATTTAAATGTGCATGTTAAGATTCTCCCCTCCAAGCTGTTTAACATCTTCCATGAATTATTCGATAGGTAGAAGCAGTTAAAAGTGGCAACATCTAGAGAATTTTTATTAATAATTGCCCTGTCCCAAACAATATGCTAAGTACTGAAAGACATGGGAGGAGGGGAACAGGTAATTGTTGATAGAGATAAACTGGGTGGTGGAGAGAGCAGAAAATTAGGCGCCTCCATCCACCATTTTTCAGATAAGGCTGCATTCCGGGGTTTCACTTGCCACTGGACTGGGACAGCATGGTCTATGGGATTCTGTAATGGGCTGCCTGAGTTTGTATTCCAGTAGTGACTGATGCAAGGGGTTCACTTTAACCTCTCATCTTATAGGTGTTGCTGTGGACGCCTAATAGGCCAGCATGTTGGACTCACACCTAGCATCTCTGTGCTCCAGAATGAGAAAAATGAGAGTCGCCTCTCCAGAAATGACATCCAGTCTGAGAAGTGGTCTATCAGCAAACACACTCAGCTCAGCCCAACAGATGCTTTTGGGACCATTGAGTTCCAAGGAGGCGGCCATTCCAACAAAGCCATGGTAATAATAAAACCAGTCACTTGTTCTCAGACACACTTTCACACCCTGCAAGGGAACAGCTGAGAGCCTGGGCTATAAGTTTCAGTCTAGCCTGGCCTCTGCCATTTTCCAGGAGAGTGTCTATAAAGTGGAGGGGTTGTGGTGGTGGTATGAAACCTCTCCCAGGACTTTTTAAATCATTAGCATGAGATCTGATGATAAGCTGATTTTTTTTAAGTTTTTTTGCTTTTTTTTATTTAACTTTTATTAATTACACTTTATTCATTTTGTATCCCCCCCATAAGCCCGTCCCTCCTCCCCTCCCAGTCCCACCCTCCCCCCTCCTTTCTGCATTCATGCCCCTCCCCATGTTCATTGATTGACTGGGGAGGTCCTCCTCTCCTTCTTTCTGATCTTAGTCTATCAGTTCTCATCAGAAGTGGCTACATTGTCAGGGTTCTAGGTTATCTCCATGAATAGTCCTTGGTTGGAGTATGAGATAAGCTGATTTTTATTCTCATTAATATGTAACAATGTATATGACCTTGTGGTTCAATGTTGTTTCCATATGTGAATACACAGACATGGAGCAAACCCATCACTTCTTTATTCACCTCCCCAAGACCTTTATCACCTTCTTTCAACCACTCAGATCCACTGCCGTCTGGCCTTCACATATGAGAGAAAAGCTGATACTTGTCTTTCTGACTCTGACTTATTTTCTATACTTATAGTTTGCGATACTATTTCCTATGTCTCATTTACTTGGCCTTTTTCTAAACCCTCTACGCCCAGCTCTGGAAAGAAAAAGAATGTTTCCTTTAGGTGTCCATTTTGTATTATTAGCAAAATTTCCTCATCTGTTTCTTTCCAGGTCTTGACAAAGATCTTGTAATCCATATCAGGTACCCTTTCTTCAAGCAGCTGTATTAGTAATATTCCCCATTGGAAAGGAAAACACCTTTAGCAATGAATTGAGAAATATATAGAATTTTTGTCATGTCTAAACTATAGTTCCCATAGACTACTCTTGAGGTGACTCACAGACTCTTCAAAGAATAAAATGTATGCCATGTGTTCTGTAAATTGTGGAAGTTTTATATTTCAGCAAGCTTGTTGGAAGAGTTAGGTAATAGGTGTAAGATAAGAGCACACTGCTGGACATGTCAGTAGGTGTAAACTAACTTAGCTAGCATTATTAATATTCCCATTTCCCCTAGGCTCTAAAAGAAATTGAGAAAACACTTGACTCGTCCTTTAAAGAATGCTCCTTTCACATATGCACCTATTAGTTCATATGCTTTAATTTACATTTTCAGTCAATACTTGTCTATAATTCTGAAAGGTCAAACTCTGTAGCTGATTTGCTGACCTTGGAATAGGAATCCACTGGCGTTTTATATATAGCCCGGTGCTGTCACTTTCTGGTTGTCTGACTGTTAATTTAAGCCTTAGTTTCCTCGAGTGTAGAATGTGATAGTAACTTGTACTTCAGAAGACTGTCTCAGGAACTAATGGCACCTCTGTGTGTTAAGAGCTTTGAACGGCGCCTGATGCTAATGCTACTGAGAGTTTTTCTCTGAGGGAGCTGTGTAATCAATCAAAACTGATGTATGCTATTGGAGTCACAAGGAAGATAAACTCTCAATGTCTGACTGTCTTTGTTAAGCCATTTCATTTACAGGAGCCTCAAGTGTTCCACCATTTCCTCTTATGGTGTTTATGAGGATAAAAGATACCTGATATATAGCTAGTACTCCAAATATGTATGAAGATGATACAAATAGGCCAGAGAAATAGCTTCTTGTACTTCCTGGAAGCCTGCAGAGCCATTAGGGTATTTCCCTAGAGGCATAAGACTTCATGTGCCCACAGTCTGTTCTGTGAAGTTCACATGAGTGGGAGTCACCACCAGGAAAGCTACCTGGAGGTTTGTGAGCTGATGTCCACCCCCTGTCTGTCCCCTGTAGTCACTCATTTCAGCAAATCAGAATAGGTCATATTACCTGGGATCCTTCCCACTTTAGTCCTTGTCCATTTCTGTCACAAAGCAGCTGCTGTGGGTGACGTTAGAATGAGCACAGCACTTCTGTTGTATAACTTTCCTCTATAGGAAATCCTTTTCATCCCCTGAAAATTTCTGGTGAATTCCCTAGAAACCTGGAGAGCAGAACTCAAAATGTGTTTTTTAGCATGTGCCCTTCAAAGAGTTCAGCAAAATACTTCAGCAATGTCTTTAATGAATAATAGTTAAGATCATAATGAGCAACCAAGTATTCTGCAATCCCCTCAGATTTCACTTTCTCCACATATATTCAATAAGTTTTTTTTCAGAGCTCTATTCAAACCCACAACCTCATACATGTTCAGCAAGTGCATAAAACTGGGCTACATTCGAGTCCTCAAATGTCAAGAACTCAGGGAAGTGGACCCTAATCAACTACCCTTCTGAGCACTGGTGACTGTTGTTCACACACTATGACATTGACCCTGAGGTTAGAGTGTCCCCAGGTGGTCTCAGGGCAATCACTCTAAGGGTGACCCTTTCTTTCTGTCCAAGTCTAATTAGCCTAATGAAGACCAGTTTTTCTCTTCATCACTACTGGGTATTTAGCGACTGGAAATCTCCAGCATTCATTCAGATACAAACGAGTATCTTGTGCACATTGAAAGCTTGCCCTGGAGTTACTCTGCTTCTCCTGTCTAAACAAAGAAGTGGTGCTGTCAGGCCAGAGGCCTCATTTTATGAGGCAGGGGAATGGATGCTTGCCAACCCGAGCCTCCCTTGCTTCTCAACCTCTTAAGCAACCAGCGTGCAGTTTGGATAGAAGGACTTGGCACCCACTGCCTGTCAAAGAAGCCAGACTTCATGAGAGTACTGTATGGTTAATTATTCTCCAAAACTGCAGTTGGGCCAGTAAACTTAATGTGCCTTTGGGCCCTCACTTCTGAAAGAAGTCCTTGAAGTGATTTTTAGCAAAGTCATCAAAACACTCTAGGGGCAAAACTGACTTTTATTTGAAAAAAAAATTTTTTTAAGCTAAGATATAACATTAACTTTTTCCTTGAAGGCAGAGCAGGATACAGCTCTAGCAGTTTCCAAATGCCAAGGTGGACTGTACATAGTGAGGCAAAGAGCAGAAAGAGCAGACTCGTTACAAAAATACTTCCAGTTACATGAGAGTCATACCTAGGTATCTATCTGTCCTACCACCTATGAGGGGACAGAAGGACATCACAGACCCTTAAGCATGAAAGACACTTGAAGGATCATAATTAGTGGTTCTTGACTTGGGGCCACAAAATAACAGGGAAGGCCATTACAAATGGCCATATCTAAGATTCACATCTAGAGTCTCATTCATTAGCCTTGGAGAGAACATGGGGTATCCAAAGATCTTTGGATATATAAATTCCACAGTTATTCCACTATGCAACAAGTCTTGGAAAAATTAATCTCCATCCCCTCAACCTATGTTATAGACGAGTGAATTGAAGCCCCCCAAAAGAGGAAGTTCTTTTATTTTTTTATTTTTAATAATTTATTCACTTTATATCCCAATTGTAGCCCCCTCCCTCTTTTGCTCCCAGTCCCACCCTCTTTCCTCCACTCCCTTCCCCTAATCCAGAAAGGGGTCACCCTCCTCCCTACCATCTGACCCCAGTCTATCAAGTCTCATCAGGACTGCCTGCATTCTCTTCCTCTGCGGCCTGGCAAGCTCAATCCAGGGGAAAATGATCAAAGAGCAGGCAACAGAGTCTATGTCAGAGACAACCCATGCTCCCCTCACTAAAGGGCCCACCTGGAGATTGAGCTGCCTATTGGCTACATCTGAACAGGGAATCTGGGTCCAGAGGAAGTTCTTGAACCCAGCCTCCTAACAACCAACCCCCTTTCCATTCTCTATTTTCTTTGGTATGTGTGCCTAGAACATGACAGTCACTGTTCTATTTGGAAATAATATGGAGGTAATTGAAAAGAAGCTAATTACAATTGTGCTTCTACCTTTTTATAAGGATTTTATAATTTTGTAGCAGAATATTTAAATCACTAATATTTAATGAGGTTAATTAAGCTTGAAAGCCTCTAGCGGGGAGAAGTCTTTGTAAATTACATTCTAGATTATTAGAATCATTTGCCAGGTTCTTTCAAGTGCTTTATGGTATTCAGAACTCAGCGTCCAAGCTTAACCCATCCCAGGAAAATCACTTTGCAGAGAGAAACTATGACACATGAAGGACAGCGAGGGAAGGAGCCTAACTTCCTTCTCATTTCCTGAAACCATCCTGGACTCTCTGAGGGATGGATAGCTCATAGGGCCATCTCATAGTTTACACACTGCCTGAGGACCACGGCAAGATGGCCTTGTCAGCAGACATGGTGAGGTTTCTTGGAGGCTCTTTGTCTACTGAGAGCTCTCACATGATTTTACAAAGTGAGCAGACTACATAGACTCACTTGTTTACAAATCATCTCTTCTAATTAATGCTGAGCTGGCTTGTGGGCCAGGTAAGACTAAACCTAATTAAGGCCCTGAAGTTAAACCTTTCAAGCCAGCCACATAATTCTCCTCCGCCTCTCCTCTGCTATTTACTCTGCTTATTAGATCATGTAGAGTCCCTTAGAACAGTTTTTATATAATTTACAATTAGCTCTAGCCTTTGTTTCACTCTGAATCCTCTAACTATTGAGCCCACAAAGGTGAAAGCCTTGTTCACTGAGCTTTGGGGGAGGCGACCACATAGTACAGATGTTGCCTGTGTTAGCTTGGCATTGGTAACCATGTGCTCTTGGATTGAATTTGAGGTTGACACATTCTCTCAGATTTGCAGAATGCAAAATTATCTTTTTTTTTCCCCACTCTAGTTTGGTGAGGTGTGGGAGACCTGGTCCTCTTCCTATTACAGGCCTTTAGGTCCCCAGTTGACCAAGATTAAAAATGAAATGCAAATTTGGTCTGGGAATCCTTGACTGACACACACAAACAGAAAATGACTAACTGATTTCCTCTTCACACACA